ATATCATAGGGTCGAAAGGAGATGGAGGGAGACACAGCCGCTAATGAATGGTACACTCCGAAGTAAATGTCCGGTGCCTGGATCGTTCGAATCGTGGGTTAAAGGTCGTGGCTGGGCAACGTCACCACCACGCTCACTGCCAAGCCACTCGCATTTAAATTGTTACGCAATGGCCACCGTGATTAGAAAGCCACTGGGAGCTGTCTAATTTTACATCTAGGTTGAAAACTAATTTCCTTAGAGCTGCTTGTTGTGTTAAGTTCCTTCTCCCCCGCCCGCACCTCCGATTAGCACGGTTGGCTACGTACGGTGCAAAAGAAGTTCACCATAATATATAAGAAGTTCAACGTACGTACGTACTTCGGCAGAGGGCTTAGAAACACAACACAATGACTGAGCCCGCCAACCAGGACCAGGGCACCCCGTCACCAGAATAGCAAAAACGAATATTGAAATGTATCAAATATCAGCCCAAATTCTAAATCTATTCATAACAAGCACAACCTAATTATTCACATTAACAAGGCAATGCATCTCTCTCATCTCCATCTCGTCTGTACATCTCTTCTCTCAATATATATTGATATAATCTATATCTCTTCTTGGGGGTTTGCTAGGATTTTATTAATTGAAAAGCGGGGGGGGGGGGGCGGGGGGAGCTACAAAACGAATGTCTGATTTAAGGCCCCTAATGGCCGAACACCTTCTGATTGCCATTTCATGCGACACTATTTACTGTATCATTGGCCAATTACCAAGCCTAACACACACAAAAATAACTGGAATGGAATACAATCTATGTGTACATATATGGTCGAACGAGCATTCTGGTTGCACTCGTTTCATAGGGGAGCCTTCAGCCAGGTGTGGAAAATCCCACAGTGCTACGGTGGACAATGGTGTATATATATACTCTTAAACCACTTGCTCACAACCCACGAAGTGATATCCATTCTATCGAAGCCAGGAGAATGATGTGCACTTTCAAATGTCAGTGCAACTATCGTTAGATAGTCAGTGCGCCGGTTGGCTCGAGACGTCAGTGTTATCGGTGGTTAAATCCCACATTTGGCTTTCACAATAACGCATGCTGTACCTCCTGAACAGCAGCGCATCCGTGTTAAGATGGCAATGATGTGACGTTTTCGTGGCATCCATATGAAGAGTGTGTGTCTGTGTTTTTTGCATTTGACATTCATCTATTAGCACAACAAAGGTGCGTCGAATTTGTGGAACTATAATGGGCGATCTGCCTTGTGCGATGGTAGCAGGGTAATAATCCCTTTGCCTCGTCGTGAGAAGTGGGAGCACGTGGTTTCAGAGTGTACCATTTTAACCGACCCCTTCATTTTACGCATGCACAGGCTGCAGAGAGACATCGGTCTAGAATTAACCAAAGCACCCTGGGTCGTTACGGACACATTTGCACGCATTTAATACAACAACAGAGGTTTGGTGCCGGATGGGTTTTAGAATGGTCGCCTTTAACGAATGCCTCTGAACTGCTGCAGCAGGCGCGCAAGGTGACCTTGACAGCCGCACCTGGGAGCCGTGAAACCAGCCGATATGAAGTACACCTTGAAAGGGCCATCACGCACCACCGATTCCACCTTATTCACAATGTGACACTGGTGCGGTAATGGCCAACTAAGTGAACAAATCAGCCCCCACCCCCCCACCACCGGGTCACTAACTATTGAACAGAAACACCGCACCACATTAAACGCAGGTCTTCCCTTATTACCCGGATAAATTGCAAGCTCTTACAAAACGTGAAACTATTTTGATTCACCGCCGTGCAACACATATATGTCCGTGGATCAGGATGCGGGATGGTAATGTGAGGTGCCACCAATTAAGCGTGTGGGATAGCAACGTGTCTCGCCCTGAAGGGACTTCAGAAGGGGGTTTCATCGAAATGATTACTTTCATCCCGTGACATGATGCCAAATGGAAAGCGGTGTGGAAAAGACGAAGCAGAAAAAAAGTTTTCACTCGTCAAAATTACACAGCAAGCGGCGGCGATGGTTTAAATCTAACTCGGCGACAGCTTTAACCGCCTGCAACACAGAATTAAAGCGTCAAGCGGACGATGCGTTTTCTTTTTGCGCTTGTTTTTTTGTCTTTCTCGCGGCAGACTTTGAAGTACTTTCATGATGGCTAACGCCGAGTCGCATACAGATTTATTATAACGATTCTTTAAATATATACAGTACGTACAAATCGCTGTCAATCATCCCGTTCCATTGGAAGTTGACCAATATTTAATCCACACCCCCCCCTCCTCCTCCCCAGGTAATCGTGATGGTACGTCCCAAACTAAATAACCCCCCCCCCACGTCCCTCACTGTGTCAACGCACACAGACATTTGGCAGGTGCTGTGCTAGAATGGAATAAACCATTTTGGTTTTTTTTGGGGGGGGGGAGGGGGGGTCATATACTTGGACTCAACCTCAAGGGAATCGGGAACGAGTGACAAACGCGAACACTATCCTAGCTGAAAACATTCCCCAAGGACTTTGTCGCAGCTCAAACATGTTTTTGTTAGATAATAATAATAGTTATTGCACTGTTTCCTATGAGACATCAAATTGTACAGCGATCTGTGATCGTAGATTAATACTTGACAATGGATTAAACTCGATCGAGTGTGATCTGTGTTTTTTTTGGCGGGGGGGGGGTGTTTGGAGTTCACCAGAGTGTGGTGTGTGCCCCGCATCGAACGCATATTAGGGGCTATGAAAACATGTTTAACTGTAGATGGACGGGGGGGGGGGCGAGTTTATTTTCGTTGTTTTTGGAGATCACGAAGTGTAAGTCTAAATCAGAAGGCCCAATGTTCAACACCCGACCGCTGTATAATAACCGCACGCGATTTCCATTGAGAGTCTATAGGAACAGCTTGTAAAACAAAAAAGTCCAGTATATTATTAACAGATGTACAATCATATTCTTCAACGTGACTTTACCGAAAAAACTAAGAATATGAATTACTGCAGTCACGAAAGCTTTAAATCAAAATTTAGATGTACAATCGTTTAACACGTAGGCTTTCGCGACCAATATCATCCATAATACAGGTTTTTGTGTTAGAACTAAAATAACCTGTATTATGGAAGATGTACAATACATTATATTGAACCTCGTCAAATAATTCACACGCAAACACACCCACACACAGGCGCAGACTCTTTCCGAAATGTTTTTTTGCACAATTAATCTCCCCCCCCCCCCCCCCCCCCCCCCCCCCCCCCCCCCCCCCCCCCCCCCCCCCCCCCCCCCCCCCCCCCCCACAAACCATCCACTCATCAACTCTCCTCTTAAAAGAAAGCCTGAATACATCCCCACCCTCTCAATTCTGTCATAGCAGTCTCCTGCTTGACAAGAAACGGACGGGCGAGCGTAGTAAGAGGTGGGGTTAGAGCCGGCTTTGGCCATTTAGATGATTTAATGATGCCCCCTGTGCCGAGAGATACCCGATACGTGTCCATGCGCAGAACATCTGACAATAAGCAGATGAGGGAGAGATTACATGTACAGTAAAGAAATTGTCTCGAGTGGTGTATATTGATTATACGTTGCCAAAAAACCCGGAGCTTTTTAACACCACTCCTGGCAAGATGTGTATATATATATTCCACAGGACGTAGGGCACCTCCTCACACGACGAGGACAACCCCTGGGGGTGGGAAGCAGCAGGACCAAGGTGGCAACCCCCCTCTGGCCGGAGCGAAGCGTAGGGTCGTGGCAGTCGACCCCAAGCGGCCACGTGCTGCTGCTGCTGCTGCGGCTGCTCCACGTGTTCGTTCGGCGTGCGCGCGCGTGCTCTCTGCGTGCGGGCTCGGAAAGCGTGAAACGTGACGGATATTTTGCTTACTTTTGTTTCGTATATACGTGCGCAAAGTTCATAGCAAGTAAAACTGTACGTTACGATTGTTCTCACGAATATAGTTGTTCAAAACTTTAATACTTGTATTTAGTAAAACGGTATTATTGTATATATGTGTGTGTGTGTATATATCTCAAAGTTTAAATGAGATGTTATACTGCGGTGAAATTATCTTTTAACATAACCAAGCATTGTCATTGTGAGGACTTTAAAAAAAATATCCTTTTAAGTCAGAACTTTCTATTCTTTTTTTACATTGACTGTGCCTATTGCGTGATCATAGCAACGTAATTAAATGTTCGACCACCAAGGGTTAACTTTTACAACTACAACAGAGGAGGAGACCTGTGAACAAGAGTCTAATCGCTTCATCGGGATTCTCTCGCTTAAATTAAATGTCTGTCTCTCCGTGGCTATGATAGTGCGGTAATTGTCAACAATTGTAATGCAATTGTTTGATTGGCTCACAAGTGACGGCGATTGGATTTATCACTCTATTTAAGATCAGAACAGGAGGATTTCGCCAAAATTCTGTCTGTTCGCCTGATGAAGCTGGTTGTAATTACCGGCAAAATGTCGAACTCGCATTGTAAATGTTGTGGGGTTACTCTCCAACACGCCGGTGTGCTGAACGAGTAACAAATTGGCACGTTTTGTTTACGTGACAACCCTTACTAATTGGCTGTGTCGGGTGGCAGAGGGTTCAATGACACATTTATATTTACGCGATATAATCCAAAAAAACGATATGGATAATATTGGTCACGAAAGCCTACTAGGTGTTAAACTGTAATCCAACTTTGAGAAGACATTTTAAGGCTCTTTAAACCAATTGCATTTAGTGTTTTACCGAAAATCATACAATTGTGTATGTGTCACATTGTTCGTGCATCCATAAACTATATCATTCTACGGCAGATTACTGAGATGGAATTTCCTTTATGAACGAGACAAGGGGAATTAATGTATCGACTGCGAAAGCTATACATGGCTTATTTCATTTCGTACGTATGCTTTCACGACCAATATATAGTCATAAATTAATGCAAACCGACACACCTGATGACGACCGTTTGTGTTATGGTCGAAACGTCGTGAGAATTTTTATTGTTTTATATATATTTTATTGTTTCCCTTCAAAGTGACTTTACCGAAAGAGCTAAGAATATATAGTCATAATTTAGTTTATTTCGTGTTATATAATTGAGTAGGTATTATGCTCATTTGTAACTAGAGCCCTCCACCACCCGACCACAGCCAATCAAATAAAAATTTTGCACGTGGGAATACGTGCCAACTGATTTGCTTCTTCTTCTTCAGGAGGACTGGAGGAATGTTTAAAAGTTTAGCAAAATGTTGACAATTTTTATTTTGTTACGTTTCATTGGAAATTACATCCAGCATCATCAGGCGTGAACAAGACCTGAGCTCTCGCGTTACAGAGCTTCTTGATCCGGGTCCTGAAGTATGACTATTTTATGAAATGACAAGCTCTTGTGGATTTAATAATACTATATATATATTTTTAATCGGTACCTCACTCAATGTGTTAAAACGTGGAATTTCATTTCCAACGTGGAATATAATTTTACACTGGCGATTACCAGTGGCGGTAGCTTCTCAGCTGAAAAGCGAGCGTTAATGTCACCCTTGTGGTAAAGCTAAACGATGAACAAATGCTTGACTGGGTAATACAAATTGAAAGCTATAAAGTATAAACCAGGATTATTCGAATATACATTTGTACAAAACATTTCAACATTGAAATTGAAAAGCATACTGTACTTGTCATTTTTACGCTTTCAATAAAATACTAATAGGAATATCTCCAATTACGTTAAGAAACACGTTAATAAAAAAAAAACAATAAAATGTTTAAAATACTTCAAATGGTAAACAAGTAAGACTTTTTCATGTATTTTTTTTCAACTTTGGCAAGTTTTGGCTACAGAAACCATTAATATGCCTGGTTTTTTTTTTACATTTTAAATCAGCTCACGGAACTTAAAACACGTTTACACAAAGCATCGCTTCCCGATGTCCGACACAAATTGTGAACCCAGTCGCTCTCCCTGGTAATAAAGCCACTGCCCTTGGTTGGGGTAGCCTGCAAGCAACGGCAACCACCACGCTTCTTCACAGACGCATTCAAGGGATCGGCCCGTTCTTTGCTCGATTCTAAACCGGCGTCCCCGTTAACGTGTTCCACGAATCTTCGTAGCAACAATGTTCGAGTTATGAACTAACTTGTGGCATTTAAAATCGAATCTTTGTTTTCCCAAAACAGAAATCTTAAAAAAAAATCACCATCTGAAGGTATGCGTCTGTTCGACTTTGAATACTTGTAAGTAAAAACTGATGAATATTGGCGTCCGTGGCCAACGGTCCACGTGCCTTTTGACATCCCTGCCTGCGATGTATTCCTGCTGAAGGATGTGAAGGGTTGTGTGCGCGTCTATGCGCGCGGGTGTTGAAACTCCGTCGGCGCAATGTCTCTCCTCATTCGTTGCCGACGGAAAATTCGCAGCGCGCGGTTGCCCGAGAGCTTGCGCGTGAAGTGCGCGCAAAGTGCGCAGGCGAGGTTTGCGTCTCGGTTAGAAGCTGGGTCTCCCCATTTAGTGACAGCATGCACCGATGCAGCTGTGTGTGTGTGTGTGCGCTGCAGCGCGTGCCGAATTACAGTCTTGTTGTGGTTTATTTTTTCTTAAAAACTGTGAATGCTACAAAGTTGTTACGAGTAATAACTACAGTATGAAACCTGTGGCTTTTTTTACGTATACACCGCAGTGTGTAAATATATATTGTGTGTGTGTATATACAGGGAATAAACACTGCATTACACCATGTGACAGGCAGAGATCGAAGCAGTACTTATAGGCAAGAAAAAAATACTTCAATTCTCGACCACGTTCAAGTAATTTATGGTCGCAATACCTATGCAATCGTGTAATTATCGTTGCCGTTATATACAAATATGGCACTTAACAAATACAAGATAACCAGATTTTTAGCTTCCCGACGTTGAGTGGACCACAGTCTTGGCAATATGGCTCTCTGGGAAAATATAAAGGCGTATTAAAAAAAAGTGGTTTTCTTTGACGTTTTAGATTCACAATCTATATCATTCCAGATACAATGCGATCATTATACAATGTAACCTTATTGGTATTTATGTAGATACAACAGTGACTTGTGGTGTATGTTATTATTACACTTTTGCACGAAAATGATCACCACTTATACAGTATATTGTTGTCATTATAAATATGAAGGTTAATGTACATTATTGATACATTTAAAATTTCACAATGGAGTTCGACATCAAATTCCCCATTGCCATCCATCGGAATTGAGTAGGCAACGTTTTATCTAAACACACTTCTACATTATAACTCTTTGTCTTAAAATGCTCCGCCAATTGGAATTCCGTTGGAATGCAAAGTAAAAGCCAACGTCGTCACACTCAAAAAAGCAACAAAAATTCAAACCTCTTTTCATTTCCTGAACCCAAGGCCCTAAAAGCAATATCATATTTTGGCCAAGTGATCGTGCAATACAATGAACACTTCACACGGGATTTTGCCCTGCGCCATTTCTGGTAAGGAACAAAGCCAAATCACGATGATCATCGTCGTCAGTCAGTCATGGTCAAGCCACCGCTTGATGAAAGCCTCCCCAAACCATCGGCAACGCTCGTGATCCTGTGCACCATGTGCACATGGTGCACGTGGTGGTGGTGGTGGTGGTAGAGCGAGCGGCTTGCAGTTGGAATTTTGCGAGTTAAAATCCTGGTTGGGGGTTTGACTCGGCCTATCGTCCCTCTGGGGTATGTAAACGAGTTACTGCTTTGTGCGAAAGTTAACAGAGGTTGTCCTACGGATATATTTGTCCCCACCGTCGGAATATGGATTTTTCACAACTGGCTAAGGCTGTAAACATGAGATGATTAAATTTTGATTTAAAGCTTTCGTGACTGCAGGGATTCATATTCTTGGTTCTTTCGGTAAAGTCACGTAGATGATGATTGCTTGTGTTGCAGTCGAAACGTCGTGAGAATTTTATTGTTTTATATTTTTATTATTTTATTTGTTTCCCTTCTACGTGACTTTACCGAAAGAACCAAGAATATGAAATGATTAGCACATGAATGCTCATTTGAGCAGGAAATCACTTTGACCTTAAAACTTCTGGCCTGCACATCAGCTGATTTTCAAAGAAGCTAAGAACCTACGGTTTTCAAACCTTGGGCATCTTGCATAAAAAAAAAAACAGACGTATGTTATACTGTTCCACCAGCAAGAGGAATCTTGCGTTGAATTCAATTAAACACTTCTTTGTGTGGCCCAAAGAGATATTGCTTGTTTCTGGAGCAGAGATATATAATTGCAAATTCTGATTCATCTTTACCCCCCCCCCCCCCCCCCTCATTATACTGCGCAGTGGAGACGTCATTATAAAAATAAGTGTGCAGATGATCGTTTGGAAACTGTAAGATTCCGTGAAGGCAATAAGGGGGAGCAAATATTTATTAAATTTTCCTGAAATTATTAACTTGGTGGATTTGCTGGTAATGACCACAATTGTTGAACTGTCAGGGAGCTCTTACTTTGGCTAACACCAATGCAAAGTTGCAAGAACCAATTTGCAATGGCTTACGATGATGGTGGTGATCGGGATGGTGGTGGTATTATATATATGGTACAGTATATAATAAACACTGTTAGTTGTCATGATACTCTTATTTGCAATTGCACTCAAAGTAGTACATCATCTAAGTCGGTTATTCTGTAAAAAAAACCCTATGATTTTATCATAAAGGCAATTTTAAACTGACAATGTGATGTATATGCATATACAATTTCTGCGATTTTACAAAAAAAAATAGCTTTCTCATATCTCCGATGAGTGATTTACTTGCCCATCCTAGAGGAGGGCACGTCGTTCATGTTTTTGACGTGAGCTGTCCTCATGGGAAGTATGTCAGCTGTCGGGTGTTGCTGCACGACTGACTGGTAAAACCACTCGGTATTCGTGGGTAAATTGGCACTTGCTCAGATGAACAGTGTTCAGGCATACGTACGTGATCCTAGATTTGTTGAGCAAAAGCCAATCTCAGACGACATTACGTTCAAGAATAACCAATAAGCACTATATACAGGGTACAAAATGTTCTTTTCTAGGCTCATTAACTGTTCGCATCACATAAGAGTCACATCTAACTACTGCACCAATACCAAATAAAACCTATTCCATCGACATATTTTTTGTTTGTTTCTTAACTTCTGTCAATCTGACACGATAGACCATTTACAAAAATGTTTGGAGTGATGTGGATTTGAATACCGACCTGTAGTTATTTCCGTCACGGCTTGACTTTGCGCTATTTAAAAAACAAACCAATGCACTACACGAAAAGGCAAAGTTGCAGACCTGTAATGGCTCCCTCACGCCACCGCTGGCCGAAAGGCCTCTCCACGAGAGGGAGCTCTAGCGTGGGGTCCCTCTAAACGCACATTATTCAACATTATCGTCGCTGATCTCAACTAAACTTATGTATTATGAATTTTTTCCAGGCAAGGCGCACTGAGCCATTTCGCGCTCTAATCAGAAGCGACCTGGCCACAGATCGCCATCGATGAGCTTAAATCTCCGACGCTACGGCCGTGGCCGTGCCACGGCGCCCGCCCTGCTGAGCGAGGACATTCTCGCGGCCACGCCGAGTGAGCCGTGGTGCGACGCCCCTCAGTCCAGCATGGCGTCCAGTTGGTCGGCGAGGTCGTCGAACATGCTGCCGATGTCGTCCAGGAGATTCCCCGTGGGCCGAGGCTTGCCGTCGTCACTGCAAGAGAGTGGCACGCGTGCGGGCGATTGAGACCGGGTTGTTGTGTGTGGTTGTGTGTGCGAGCGATAGTGCAGCGGTTGGCTCAGTCGACCTAGGGGATGCCCAGGACCGGTTCAAATCATCGTCACAGGTGTTAGCCATGAGCGGGAATCGAACTCATAGTGGTTAGCGCGCGGTTAGCACACTGCACTATGAGTTCCATTCCCGCTCATGGCTAACACCAGTGACGATTATTTTAATCGGTCCTTGGCATACCCTAGGTCGCCTCAGCCTCAAATATTTGAGTACCTGGTAAGGCGGCTGAGCATAGTGCTGGCCACGCACCTCCTCGTGTGCCGTGCCTGCATTCATTAGCGTTCGCTAACAGCAATTGACTCAAACGTCTGCCAAGGCTATATGGTGGGATCTTTGTTTGTAGGAATAGGTTTTACCCTTTTAACTGGCACAAAAACTGACACCTTTATTCAAGGCATCATGTTTGCAATAACCACAACACAAGCAGTCAAAATGCAAACAAAAAAGACAACTCTTATAATAATATGCACTGTCCTTGAATTTGATTGGTCCACACCCGAGACAGCTTTTCTTAGAGCCTAGTCTCCATTGGTGTTGGACCAGAAGACGCCAAAAGGCGTACAACTCAAAAACAGCGCACTATCAGAGTATTGAGGGCTCGGGGTGAGCATTTACATTATGAGACCTCCTTTGCCAGAAACAAGATATAGGAATAGGTTTTACCCTTTTAACTGGCACAAAAACTGACAGTGCATATTATTATAAGAGTTGTCTTTTTAATTTGCATTTTGACTGCTTGTGTTGTGGTTATTGCAAACATGATGCCTTGAATAAAGGTGTCAGTTTTTGTGCCAGTTAAAAGGGTAAAACCTATTCCTATATCTTGTTTCTGGCAAAGGAGGTCTCATAATGTAAATCTTTGTTTGTATTTGTTTTTGTGTGTGTGCGTGCGTGTACATATGGGTGAAAGAGTGGTTATCCCCACCATAGGAATGTGATCTGGGTCACCAAAATAAGACATTCTATCAACATTAAAGTACATAAATTAAGCGAAGGGAAATCAGCGCAAAACAACGTCGTTAAAAAAAAGATATATGAGCACAAACACCCGCAAAACAAAAGCAGCGCAGGAACAACCATTGAAAGTGAATTAAGTATATTTCCTGAAAAGGAAGTTCAACTCGCTGCACCTGAGAACCTGGTCTCAGCAGTGCCGGCTGAGCGCCCTGACGCCTCCGAGCCCCCCAGCCGCCTCCGCCGAGAACATCGTTCCGCCGCTCTCCGCACACGCGCGCACGCATACGCACGCATACGCACACATACGCACAATCGCACGCACGCGCAGCAAAGTCTGGGGCCCTCTCTGTCTTACCGGCCGTCGTGGCGCAGCGTGTCCTCCACGGCCTGCAGCGCGGCGGCCAGCGACGCGCTCGTCTCCTCCAGCCGGTGCTGCGCCACCTCGGCCAGGCCCGACCGCGACTCGGGCCTCCCGCCGTCGCCGGCCGCCGCCGTCGCGGCTTCCCCGCCGCCCCCGGGCGACTCCGGCGGACGCTCACGATCGTCCCTAACCGGCGCTGTGGCGCGGTTATTCTCTACCGGTGTGGCCGCAGGTTCTTCCATTCTCCCTGGCGAGTGAGGGACCGACCTCCGGTTGCTGCTGCTGCTGCTGCTGCTGTCGTTGGAGGGCTCGGAGGAGAAGAGGTGAGCGGGCAGGGGTGGCTTCTTGTGAGGTCGGCCGGCATTGCGCTTGAAGACGACGTCCTGTTCGGAGGGGGACGCAACGGCGCCCGTCTTGACCGACATGGGAGGTGGAGGCGGCGGAGGGGGCAGACTTCCCGGTGGATAGTCCCTGCTGCCGTCTGAACAGGAAGACAGAGACAAAACCGTCGCATATTATTGGTCATCGTCTTCCCAGGCCTGTGTGAGCTGCTTCGATGTGAATCGACATCTCCGCAGTTTCTCTGAATGAGAAATGCTAATTATAATAGAGATGGTGACGACGATGATGCTAATGATGCTGATTCAAATAAATGCGACTTAACAGGTACATTCCAATAGTATAAACTGTTAGGCCGAACTATTTATTTACACTGTAGAAAACGAAAAATCACGCATTCTATTCAAACGAGGTGATATTACACTCACTAAAGTAAGCCGTTGCATTTTAACATCAACGTAAATATCCAGATATTTTAAAACAAGATGGCACCGCACTTTAATCACCCCCCCCCTCCCCCGCGATCGAGCGCGGCGAAAAGGTCATGACCTTTGCCGGTGGACGAGTGCATGGAGGGCTTCTTCATGAGTGGAGGCGGCGGTCCGGGCGGTCTGGCCTGGCCGAAGGACGTGGCAGACGGCTTGGGGGAGACGGTGGGCTTGGCCCGGTCTCCCGTCCCCGCGGGCAGCCGGGCAGCCTCGGCACCGCGGTACGGCGGTGGCGGAGGCGGCGGCGGGGGCGGGGGCTGCGCGGCCGCCCTCGGCTGCACCCTGGCCACGGCGGCCTCGCCGCCCTTCTGAGGGCTCCTCTCCTTCGCCTTGGGCCTTCGCTTGACCGTGTCCGTCTCTGTGAGGTTGATCTCCGGGGCGCCCAGCCCCTGCTCGAAAGCGGACGGGTCCTCGACGGGCGCGAGGAAGGCCGCGTTGTCCACGTTCCTCGAGCCGTCGCCGTGGGTGGGGCCCAGGGCCTCGCGCTCGACGACGTTGCCCTCGTAGTCCAGGGCCTCGCCCCTCGTCGGAGACCAGCCGTTTTTGGGCCGCTGCTTGATGGTCTGGTTTCCCTCCTCGGCGAATGGGATGGATTCCGCCGAGCTTCCTTGAGAAGAACAGGGGCTGCTTTCCATTCCCAGCTGCTTTGCCGGAGGCAGGCCGCCTTCGGGGGCGGCCTTCTGAACTCCGACCTCCAAGCGTGGCGAGGCGCACGGCGGCTCGCTCGTCGTCCGTTTGCGAGCGCCCGTTTTGAGCTCCGACGAAGCTGCGTCGACGCTCGCGGCCGCGCTGTACCGGTTCTTGCAGGGCACGGCGGCAGGGACGGCCACGTCCCGGGGCACGTTGGCCACCTCCGCCTTCTTCGCGCTGCTCACGCGCCGCACGGCGGGCGCGCCGTCCGGTTTACCGTGTCCGGTGCCGAAACGGTCCTCGAGCTGGCACCGCGAGCGCGACCTCTTATCCGTCGCGTCCTTGCCGACGATGTGGGCCGAGAGGGCCTCGTCGACCCCGGGCGTCGGCGTGTCTCCGTGCGCGGCACGGTCGCTGTCGGCGTCGGCTTGCGGCAACGCGGCCCTGGGCTTGCACGTCTCGCCGGGGGAAGGGCTCTCGAGCGAGCACGCCGGGACGAGGCCTCCGAGCGCCGACTTCTCCAGCATGGCGGCGATGCTGCGCACGCTCGGCGGCCCGCCGCCCGCCTCTGACAGCGTGTTGCCGTTCCAGTCCGTGCTCTTCTCCAGCGTGTCCCGGCGAACCGACGCGGGGGGGACGACGTCCTCCTCCCACCGCCGCCGCCGCTGCAGCCGCCACTCCTCGCCTCCGGCCTCCGGGTCCTGGGTGTCGGCGAGCGTGGATCCCGAGGCGATGGTGGAGCTCGAGCGCTTGGGAGGCGGCGGCGGAGGCCCCCGCTTACGCTGCCGCACGGCGAACGAGTGGCTTCGGTTGACGGCGCCGTCCCCGGCGTCCGGCGGTGGCGGCAGCGGGAAGCCGCGGCCCCGCACCGAGTGGCTGCGGCCCACGCGCCGGCCCAGCGTGGCGTAGGAGCCCGGCCCGTACGCCCCTCCGGCCGGCGCCACCGTGAAGAGAGCGTCGGACGAGAACGGCCGTGGCTCGTCGTCCGCTGCCGACGCCGCCTCGTGCTCCCCATCCGACGCGGCGCCGGCGCCGCCCCCGTACCGGCTCAGGCTCTGCGAGCGCTTCTTGGCCGGCCTCACCGCCACCCCGGCCTCCAGCGGAAGCACGGGCATGGCACCGGCGAGCCGCGTGGCGCCGGGTCCAGCGGGAGGCTCGGAGCGAGTCTGGGCATGGGCTGGGCCCTTAGTCGCGGGCGGCGGCGGGAATGGGAACGCCATGGGGGAGCGCGGGGAGTCCTGTAGCTGCCGCTGCTGCCGCTGCTGCCGCTGCGCATACGGAGGCGTCCGCACGACGTCGCAAGGCCGGGCTGGGCTGTGGCCCGCCGCGCCGGGCGGCTTGCCGGCTTTGCCGCCACCCGGGCAGGGGAAGACGAACGCCTGCGGGGAGCACGGCGGGGGGGGCGGGGATGTCGCGGAGGCCTTGCGCGAGCCCGGCGTGTGGGGGGGGGTGAGGCTCTGCGGGGACGCGAGCGGGGCCTTGGTCGGTGTGTGCGGCGGCGTGAAGGTGCTGAACGTCGGGGAGGGCTGGCTGGGCAAGCTCCACTGCTGCGCGAGCGGAGGCCTGGGCTTGGGCTGCACGGCCGGGCCGGCCGCGGCACCGCTGCTCCTTTGCTCCGGGGGGAAGACGCCGCTTCCCTCGCCGCCGCTGCCGCCGCCGCCGCTGACGCCGGCGCCGTCCCTGCCCATCTGCTGCTGAAGAGGCTGCTGGTAGTGCCACTGCTGATGTTGATGATACATCTGCTGTTGATGCTGCTGATTCTGCAGCTGCTGGTGATGATGATGACGCTGCTGCTGGTGGTGGTGGTGGTGCGGGCTTATTCCACCACCCGCGTTTAGGATCGGTCCCGAGCCGGATCGAGCCTGGAGGCCACCGCCCCCACCGCCCACGCTCTCCTGCGAGCTGCTGGAGGCGCGCGAGCACGCGAGCACCACGGCCGTGGGCTGCGAGTTCCCCGAGCCGCCCGAACGGCCGCCGAGGCTCTCCTGGCTCGCGGAGATGTCCCCGCCGTAGCGGATGGCGCGTGCCACCAGCCCGGCGCTGTCCCGCGTCACGCCGGGGCTCAGCGTCGCCAGGCACGCGACGCCGCTCATGGCGGCCTGCAGCTCGGGGCTCAGCTCGCTGTCCTGGAACGTCGACAGTTTCGGCGAGCGGCACGAAGCCGGGGAGCCGGGCTGCGGGTGAAGCGGCGGTTGGGGCAGCAGCGGCTGCGCCGGCGGAGGAGAGCCAGGGTCTCCCGGCGGGCCGTGCGACACGATCGCCATGGTGGTGGTCGATGCCGGGGACGCCGGGCCCGGGCGGCGCTTGAGGGTGCCGCTGGCAGCGGCCGCCCCCTCCAGCCGGGCTTGGTGCTGCTCCTCAAAGCGCTGCAGCTCGCTCAGTCGCCGCACGGCCAGCATCAGCTTCTTCTGGTGACCTGCGGGGCGGAGAGACGTAAGAGAGCGGCCGTCCAGGAGCACGGTGTGATGAGCACCGGTTTACCGTCCCCCGTGGTAACGATCGTACAAACGGGGTTTGTGGCTTCCTTCAGGGGAGCTGGGAACATGCTCACAATGCACGCGTCGAACTGCGCGTGTGAGAAGAATTTTACATTTCATGCAATTTTTTTTCCGAATTGCATGTCTTGGGCAAAGGAGCAGAGAAATCCGAACAAATAAAAAAAACACAAACGCAATGGTAAACACAAGACCAGAAAATGTATTCTTTAATCAAATCGCAATTCGAGATTGTAATAGATTAGGAATGACATTTTGTCTATGCATTAAATTGTAATCATGATTCACGGCCCTTTGTCAAGCCACTGCTGAGTTGGAGGTGTTTTGACCATACTTCACCACGCTCGTCATTGCGGGTTGCTGAAGAGGGGCGCTCAGAACCGCCACTCATGTTAGCCTTGACTGGGTCTCAGACCCAGGCCTATGGGCTCATAGCCCAGTTCACCAACCACTGTCACCACTTGACCATCTTCCGATTATATTCCATTACTCCAGAAATCAAGGCACCTAATGAAGAAACATCCACTCTTGTTATACATTTCCAGTGACCTGTTAACCTAATGATGCTGGACATACATCTTGTGATATTCCTCTCCAACTACAACATCGGTGGTGCTTCTGAGGCTGTAATACATTTGGCACGTTTGATTCACGTGTCACTTTTATTAATTGGCTGTGTCAGGCGGGGGAGGGTTCAATGACACGCATTTTTACAGCGACCTAACCCGAAAAAAAAACAATTACGATCCTACTGGTCGCGAAAGCCTCCACTCACCCACTCTTCTTGTTCCACACTCGACACTGAGAAACGTCACTTGGGAAATGGCCGTGACGATACTTTACTTGCAAGGAGCGCATTCAGTGGGCCTCTATCTCTCTCCTAACCACGAGGTGGCACTCTTTCACGGTGAACCTCAAAGTGTTCCGCGACAAGCCAGGTTGGTTCCACGACCCTTTGAAAAATGTTGCTTTCGAAGCTTGGCTGAGTCGCATTATAACGGAGGGGGGAATATTTGAAATGTATAAAAAAATGTTTTTACAGTTGTACTGATGATCCGCATGCATGGTAAGGTTGAGACTGTGGTGAGTTTCACGCACGAGAAGTCAATTTCATCCTGCGTGCTAAGTGGAAGGGTTGTATTTGGCTTGCCACCAGTCCTGGTTTTCCCAGGATTGTCCCCATTGTGAAATAGCAGCTGTCCTGGGAAATCTTAAATTCTTTCCGGGGACGTAAAAAAATCCTGGTTATTGTTAGTTGTGTAATAATAATAATACCATCACTCAATACACGGTGCATTTACAAGCAGTTCTCCCCTAGTATTCCGGTACTGTGAGATATAGATATATTGTTGTTCTTCTTCCCACACATGCTGCTTTCCTTTACCTCAATTGTGGCAACCCTGGGTTGCATTAAACACACCTTCCGTGGTTTTCTTTCCGCCTACTGGGAAAATCAGGAACAGGTGGCAACCCAAATAAAACTCAGCCACTTGATTTAAATCCCAGGGTTTGCATGCAGGATGAAATCTCAAGTTCTCATGTGTGAAAAATCCTACAAACTCAACCGGATCATCCACCATGCAACGAAGGAATGATTGACGAATGAATGAATGAAAACTCTGAACTATGAATAAAACTAGAACTATTTCAGAAAGCGACCTGGCCACTAATGATATCTCAACAAAGAGGACCCTGGGAAACATCTACACAACTACGGGGAGAGAGAACACGCAAACTCCAAATATATAGCAGGCAGCAGGGTCGGGATCGAACCCACGACCTCCTGTATACCAGGCGAGGTAGTTAACATCTCCTAGCCACCGTGGCACCCAGAACGAATGTGTGAGTGTACGCTGCAGGGCCGGGGAGGCGTACCCAGCTTGGTGATGCCGATCTCGTGCAGGTCCTCCCAGGTGATCTCGGACACAAACTCAAGCTTCTCGTAGCCGTTCTCCACCAGCGTGGCGTGGTACTGGGCCAGGCCGATGAGCGCGAGCCACTCCCCGAGTCCCGCCTGCAGCACACCGCAACGCACGGCACGGAAGTCGGGGTCAGAAAGATTAAGGTGCAGCCTCTGCAATTGCTAATCCTGGCACAACAGCGCCTACTGGCGATGGGAGCTTTTGGGCATCCTGCATAGAAGACATTCTTCCATGCTGGCCAGATCGCCTTCTGGAAAAGAGGTGGCAGTACCGACGGTTTTCCCTAACGCACGCGACCTGCCGATCAACTCACTGTGGTGAATCCACTCACACTGCTGGGTGGACAGAGGCGGAGTGGGGGGGGGCATTTACGAAACTCGCACCAACGTTTCAACTGTCGCGCCCTGAGATCGAACCGGAGACCTCTTAAATCGATTGCGAGTCCTGTGCGCTGCTAACCATCACACCAGCGTCTCCGTTGACGTCATAAATCCCTAATGGCGGCGAAGAGTCCTGCTGTGCGTTGTAATGGGGAATGCCTGCTGCTTTGCCAAGCGCTGAGACAAGACGTCAAAAGTATTAATAAATACTTTCAGCGTGGATTCCCGCGCGAGCGGTGCGCCCACTGGTATCTCCCGAGCGGCATGCGGCTCTTTAATCCACCATACGCGGCTCTATCGAAGGGACATATCGTACAAGACGCTCGCACAGTAGCAAAGAATAATTAATATCTACCGTGCTGTGCGGAAAAACTGTTAATACATACACTTAATGTGTATATATATACACTTAGCTCTTTGCAAAACTCATGGGTACTTTTGTCTCTTGGTCTGTTAGAGGTTGGCCACCCCTGTACTAAGCTACAGTGAGGGAAAAAAGTATTTGATCCCCTGCTGATTTTGTACGTTTGCCCACTGACAAAGAAATGATCAGTCTATAATTTTAATGGTAGGTTTATTTGAACAGTGAGAGACAGAATAACAACAACAAAATCCAGAAAAACGCATGTCAAAAATATTATAAATTGATTTTCATTTTAATGAGGGAAATAAGTATTTGACCCCCTCTCAATCAGAAAGATTTCTGGCTCCCAGGTGTCTTTTATACAGGTAATGAGCTGAGATTAGGAGCACACTTTTAAAGGGAGTGCTCCTAATCTCAGCTTGTTACCTGTATAAAAGACACCTGTCCACAGAAGCAATCAATCAGATTCCAAACTCTCCACCATGGCCAAGACCAAAGAGCTCTTCAAGTATGTCAGGGACAAGATTGTAGACCTACACAAGGCTGGAATGGGCTACAAGACCATTGCCAAGCAGCTTGGTGAGAAGGTGACAGCAGTTGGTGCGATTATTCGCAAATGGAAGACACACAAAAGAACTGTCAATCTCCCTCGGCCTGGGGCTCCATGCAAGATCTCACCTCGTGGAGTTGCAATTATCATGAGAACGGTGAGGAATCAGCCCAGAACTACACGGGAGGATCTTGTCAATGATCTCAAGGCAGCTGGGACCATAGCCACCAAGAAAATAATTGGTAACACACTACGCCGTGAAGGACTGAAATCCTGCAGCGCCCGCAAGGTCCCCCTGCTCAAGAAAGCACATATACATGCCTGTCTGAAGTTTGCCAATGAACATCTAAATGATTCAGAGGACAACTGGGTGAAAGTGTTGTGGTCAGATGAGACCAAAATGGAGCTCTTTGGCATCAACTCAATTCGCCGTGTTTAAAGGAGGAGAAATGCTGCCAATGACCCCAAGAACACCATCCCCACCGTCAAACATGGAGGTGGAAACATTATGCTTTGGGGGTGTGTTTCTGCTAAGGGGACAGGACAACTTCACCGGATCAAAGGGACAATGGACGGGGCCATGTACCGTCAAATCTTGGGTGAGAACCTCCTTCCCTCAGCCAGGGCATTGAAAATGGGTCGTGGATGGGTATTCCAGCATGACAATGACCCAAAACACACGGCCAAGGCAACAAAGGAGTGGCTCAAGAAGAAGAACATTAAGGTCCTGGAGTGGCCTAGCCAGTCTCCAGACCTTAATCCCATAGAAAATCTGTGGAGGGAGCTGAAGGTTCGAGTTGCAAAACGTCAGCCTCGAAACCTTAATGACTTGGAGAAGATCTGCAAAGAGGAGTGGGACAAAATCCCTCCTGAGATGTGTGCAAACCTGGTGGCCAACTACAAGAAACGTCTGACCTCTGTGATTGCCAACAAGGGTTTTGCGGCCAAGTAAGTCATGTTTTGCAGAGGGGTCAAATACTTATTTCCCTCATTAAAATGCAAATCAATTTATACAATTTTTGACATGCGTTTTCTGGATTTTTTTGTTGTTATTCTGTCTCTCACTGTTCAAATAAACCTCCCATAAAAATTATACACTGATCATTTCTTTGTCAGTGGGCAAACGTACACTATCAGCAGGGGATCAAATACTTTTTTCCCTCACTATATCTACGGCCACGATCTCCGCACTCAACTGAAGAGGGTGGGCGTTTCTCACCTCCGGCCACAATCTCCGCACTCAACTGATGCGCGTTGGAGTTTTTTTCATTTAGGGCCAAATTCTCCGCACTCAACTGAAGCGGGAGGGCCGTTTCCCATCCCGCGTGATTGGTGCACTGACCGGCCTGTAGTCCGGCAGCCAGTCCTGCACGTTCAGCTTGCTGATCTCCGACGTGATTTTCTTGCGATGTCCAGGTTTGGTCACACCAATCGCAGTCAGGTCCTACGGGGGAGCGAGAAAACAAACCACGAGAGATCTTGTGAAAGTGAACGTGGAACTGAAGACAATAGAATCCCCCCGGGAGGCGATGTCACGTTGCTACTTCTGAAGCGACCCCGAGAGGCATTTTATTCGTTCCCAGAAATGGACGCTGCATTAGCTCTCCGATACTCGTGACACGATTGTCTAGGCTCAATCGCCTCAAAGTGATGTTTAAAGTTGTCGCTCTTCATCAACAACAGCCATACCAAGAAGAAGAAGAACAAGAACAATCTGATATTTCGATAAGTTTCTTTGTCAGTCGCAACATCCCAAATTAAGTAAACATTACGTGTACAATGTTCTCTCGTTATTCACTAACTTGTTATCCGTGTCATCATTAGACCTCCTTTGTCAGTATCAAAATGTAATAATAGGGTTTTTCCCCTTTTTTATGGCATCTGGTCGAGCACCAATTGGGTGCAATTACGATGACGCCATCTGGTCGAGCACCAATTGGGTCGAGGCTCAAAAGAAAGCCGTCCCTTGGTGTGGACCAATCAGTTTCAAGGACAATGCATATATTATCATAGTATGTTTTTTGTTTGCATTTTGACTGCAGGTATTGTGGTTAATGCAGACATGAATCCTTGTAAAGAGGTTTCAGTTTTGTTGCCAGAAAAAAGGGGAAAAACCCCTATTATTATTACATTTGTTATCCGTGATTTTGTCTATCCGCGAGTCGCATCTGGAACTCTACACGACAAATGTACCAAGAGAGAGTGATGAGATAAAGTGATGGGAGAGAATTGATGTCATCATAGTCATGTATTTAATAGCTTATTTACGTATTTATTTCAGGTAATTTTCGTAGGCCAATATCGTTATCCGCAAAATTTGCAATTCACGAGCATCTCCAGGAATGCATCCCTCGCGAACAACAAGGGAATACTGTAAATGTTTGTGTGCAGTCAGCAGTAGCTGGGCTGAAACCACGAAGTCACCGTGATTGAGAACCTGCCGAGCTAAGGATCTCTTGTCTGTGAGCTCAGCGCTCTGATATGGACACCAAGCACCCCCGAGGAGTGAACTGGCCGATCCCCGCCTTCTGTTTGCCGACTTCTTCCGGGCTCACTGCCATCACCGGCATCTGAATGTGGACTCACGTGCTTGATTATGCATAACAAAAACACTCGCAGCCGTGATAGGGGCTGAAATGGCTTCGGTCTTGGGGCTCAATCTGGTTGGAGTCACAGATCGATTCGCCTGACAGAAGTTTCCAACGATAGAAAACGGTCTGTAGACGTATGTCATTAGCACATCAGCAACAGAGCGGAAAATGTACACTCACACTAGGGTGGAACGTACTAGGTCATGGCCAGCGCTGAGGGTGGCATTCACAAAGCGATTACACCGTTTTTATTTCCAGGGTAAATGCCATCATGACGGTGGAGCGGAACAGTGTGTTCCGAACGGCGTGACATGCGTTTGGTTCCCGGCCACCACTAATGCCAGCGGCGAGTGTTCTGGGTCCCCTTCATCATCCCACACTGACCGGCGAGGAGATCTTCACCCAACAGTGGACTGACAAAGGGCTGCACATTATAATAATAATAATATTTATATAATGCCAACCACATGTGGGGGCCATGCCCTTAAGACAACCTGGGAATCTCTGGAGTCGTGTGACTCCAGAGATTCCCTCATCCCCAGGGTCACGCTGTCACTGCTGGGGTCATGCCCCTTCATCTCCAGGGTCATGACCCTTACCTCAGGGGTCACACCCTCACATCAGGGATCCAGCCCTCACCTTAGGGGTCACGCCCTCACTTCAGAGTTCAAGTCCTCACCTCTGGGGTCATGCGGCTGATGGTGGGTAGGTCGTAGCCGGCGTTGATGAAGTTGTCAACGTACTGCTCCAGCTGAAACTCACGCAGCCACAGGTAGATGGCCTCCGCTTCCTGCGGAAACACGTGACCCGAGTCGTACTGCCGCCTCCGGGAAGTTGGACAGGCAACGGTGGTCTGTTGCTGGGGCTTGGTCTTTTACTTTGGCCTCGCAATTACGATGACAAAACTGCAGCAGAGCATGACAACTGATGAGATCAAGACAACAAAGAGAAATGATATAATTACGGTATGGTGGTGGACTGGCGGTGCTGTGGTTAGCACACGACATGATACACCTGGAGACCTGAGTACAATACCTGAGTTCGATGCCCAGCCGTGGGTAACATCAGGAGCGAGTGATATCTGAAACTAGTCCTGATCACTTCCTCCAAACCACACTGGTGAAGTATGCTCCACCGACACCTGTAGCTGACACAGCGTGTGGAGGTCTTCGTCCGGCAGTGCTTTGCAAAGGACTGGGTTTAATAGCAGGCGCCTGCCTAGATTATAGTCTGGCTATCAGATGTGCTGACTCTGTAACTACAACATGAGCCTTAGCCTCATGAGCCACTTCTATATTAGTAACCATTTAATTAACCCGTCGGTTGATGGGGTGGGGTGGGGGGGAGCTTTGTAGCGAGCATCCCCTGGACCAGAAATCCCCAAGGGCATAATTTGTTGTGGCTGGGAATTGGGAAATATAAAATCCATACATACAGATATGTGTTTGAAAGGACATTGACAATATGGCATCTGTGACAAGAGTCAAAGAGTGTGTTATTTACGTTTGCTGGAAAGTGGTGACGTGTCTTGGATTCATGAATCTGGGGTCAGGGCTGATGGAAAGGATGATTGGGGGAGGCGGGTGTGGGGGGCGCAGGGAAGCAAGAGGCCTAACAAACTGCATTTGTCACAGCCAAATAAAAAACAGTCTGGGCGTCGCACGAGAGATGTATATCAACTTTGGCAATCCTCCAAGAGTCCCCTCGGATTTATAAACACAACTTCATCCTGCGACCGCTTCGGAGTTGTTCGTGGCGAGGCAATCTAGTCTGATGTCAGGCAAACCCCAGAATAGGTGCTTGATGGGGGGGGAGGGGCTGGGAGGGAATTGTTAAATGTCAGCCGTGCAACCTGTCTTGAACGTAACGCCTTAAGACCGAAACAGGAGGATTTTTCCACAACTCTGACTGTGGCCTGATGATGCAATTAACAGCGAAACGTCGTATTCAGATTGAAAACGTTGAGGATTTACTCCCCAACACACCGGTGTGCTGTACTCGTAACGAATTGGCCACGTTCTGTTTACATCACGAACCTTGCTAATTGGCTATGTCAGGTGGAGGCGGGTTTAACGACACATTTATATTTCACGCAAGCTCACCCAAAAACCTCAATTATGGATAATATTGGTCGCGAAAGCCGATTGTGTGTTTAACTGCCTTCATTGAACGCTCCCACGGGGTGGCGGGGGGACTGGCGTTGATGCGGAGCGACAGACACACATCGCTGGACGATGAATTGCAGCTGCACGCGAGCGGGGAAGGCAGCAATTGATTTTGTCAGTGGGGTGTGAGGGGATGGGAAGGAATTCCATCCAGAAGAATTGATGATGATGATGATGACGGAGATAAATAATAAATAACCGGCCACTCACATCGGGCGAGTATTTAATTTATCCGGCTTGGCCGTGTTGTGACGGATTGATAACTATTCACAATGGAAGGTCATGGGTTCAAGTCCCAATTCAAATATCTCTTGTTGTGATCAAGCGAATACCACTGTGGAAAGCCAACAGTTATTTTACTCTGACAGCTGGACTGGTCCTTGCCAAGGGAATGCAGAAAATCTGGATTTAAGACTGCAAATCGGGTTGTACAACACCCCGATCGCACGTCTGAGCCTTCAAACTCCTTTTGTGACAACAGCTACTGTCGGCTTGTTTCCGTTAAATGACGGACAATCTAAAGCTCATTACCCGATGGAATCCTGTTATTTGGCAAAAAAAACGGTTCGGGGGGACTTTTGTAACATGACCGAAATGAGTGCGCATGAAATTAACACGCGCTTTGGTGAAACAATGTTTTTAAGCGGTCAAACGTTACGGAAACGTAACACAAAGTACCTTGCGGGCGGTGAAAGATGGAAATGCGCACATAAATGCAATTCACCAACGTTCACTCAACAATACAGAACAAAAGACAAAGATCCACGCCCGGCCGCCTTTGTCTCCCTGGCAGCGATGCTTACACGCCGCACCAGGTACTCAATTGAGGCTGAGCCGACCTAGGGGAGGCCCAGCAGCGGTTCGAGTATTCGCGATCGTTATTGGTCGCGAGCGTGAATCGAAACTCGGTTCGCCGGGTTCGTAGCGCAGCGCGCCAAACGCGACACTACCACTCCGCGCACAGCGCGCTGGCGCGCGCGCGCACACGCCGAACTCCGTGATCTCACCGTAACGTCAACAACCACACTGAGTTCTCTGGTACTGTGGCACCGAAGTCATGGCAAAGTGCTAATAACAATAATAAAAGAGAGACTGCTTCCTGTCAAAAGACAGGCTGTGCATTCACACGCTGCGGAACAAACACGTAGCACCCTTGCACCTCATCGCCGCCGCCGCTCACCTTGTCTTCAGCAAATCTCTCGTGACGCTTAATCGACTTCTGCGCGGGCCTCTCGGCTCCGAGCGTGTGCTGTCCATGGCCCGACCCTAGGGACCCGCATTTGAAACAAATGTAAAACATCGTGCCAGGCAGGGAGCCAGGCCAGACTTGGCCCAACCCTCTTCTGGCTAAGACAAACTCAATTCCAGTCCAACTTGAAACTCGGCTCAAACCAGGTGAGCTCAAATCCCACGAGGCGAGTCGCGATTAGCCCCAGCACAGTCTCGCTTTACCAAGCCCAGGCCAGCCCAACTGAGCTCAACGTAGCCCAGCTTATCTAGATCGCACCTAGCTTGTCCCAATACACCCCGGCCTGTCTCAATCTAGCCCAGCCCAGTTCAATTCTGCCGAGGCTCGCTCAATCTAGCAACAAAAATCTCAACTTATCGCCACACATCTAAATCTAGCCCAGCTTATTTATTTTTGCATCTATCTCAGCTTACATGAAATCAGCCCATCCTAGCTCAAATGCAGCTCAGCCTTGCTCGAGCTAACCTCAAAGCAGCTCAAACCATTGACCCCCCCCCCCATCCTTGCTCAAGAACAACCCAGCTTTAGAGTCCTGGTGAGGCCCGGCCCAGCCCAGTGCAGTCTAACCCAGCCCAGCTCAAATTGCCATACGTCCATCGCAGCCCAATGCGGCCCCCGGCCCACCCCAGCCCAGCCCCTGGCTGCACGAAGCCAAGAGCCGTCACCGGCAGTGCGGCACTGCAGCCCAGACACAGCCAAGTGGTGGGTTGTTTTGGCCACGTGCCTGAATGCGCGCGCCCGTGAGCGGCCCCTCTCTGAAATCATTTTCCCAGGATTACCTCTTGCTCGGTGTACTGCCTGGGCTTTTCTTCGCTGGCTCACATCGCAACGAGATTTGAAAATGATAGCCTGCGCTTAGTTTGCCGTCGGGTGGTGGAGCTGCTCTAAAACAGGTTTCCGCTTTTGTGCTGCAGATCGAGAGGTGGGAGGTCAAGGAGTTCCATTGCCCCGTCATGGTCGATCGGTGATTTTATTGTTTTGTTAGCTGACCGATAAAGTTGCCGGGCCTTAGAGGAGACGCGGAGATGTCGGGACAGGTGCGCTTCGATGGAACGCGTGACTCACAATCAGATGGTAGCGAGTTGAAGTCCCGGTCAAGGGTCTATATAGCTAATCGTCTCTATGTATAACATGAGCACCGCAGAGGTTGAGCTCTGTGTTGTGCTATGGAGAGCCCGTGTGCAAGTACACATTGTAATCCATGGACAGTGCTTCACGGCGGGCAGCAGAGACGTTGGAGTAGAGTACAGCAGTGGATCTTGCTGCACTGCCCTGTGCTGACAACGCAGCCTGACAGTAGCCAACAAAACCTGTTATGATGCACAGCGGTCACCCAATGAAGCCAATCTTGGCTCAACCCTTTCCAGTTTGCTGTCTTTCCCCGCACCTCCGATTAGCGTGGTTGGCTACATATGGTGCGAAACAAGTTCAACACACTGTACTTACATACACCCCAAGGCCGTCGGAGATGGAGCATACTTTATTTTTTCATATTTTTTTTTTAGTCAGTGAATCAATTCCACCGTTCTGATTTTTGTTTTGTTTACCACCGACCGGGAGAGGAGGAGAGAAGCCGGACTCACCCGAAGCGTGCTCCGGAAGTTTCACCTCAGACTCGGGCACCGGCTGCAGTGACTGCACCACCTGGACGGGCTACGGCACAAGCAACAGAGACACGGGCGGCGAGCGTCGCCCCTTGAGCCTCGGGGCAGACTGCCAGCACAAAGCGCAAAACTCTTCTTGAGCAAGTCACCGAAGCTAGCGTGGGTGCACGTTTTTTTGCCGCCGATAATGTGAATGGCCGGGAATCAAACTGTGGTGAACTGGTTCAGAGCGCCAGTACCCTCACCACCTTTGCCCGACACCAGGCCCAGGCGCCAGTTCCACGCGGATGGCGGGGGGGGGCTAGTCGAGATTTTGTGTGGGGGGCCACGACAAACTAAACTATAAACTAAACTGTTTTTTTTATTTTAGCAAGTAAGGCCCGTTGAGTTGTATAGCTCTTTTTCAGAAGTGACCTGGCCGCAAATGATAGCGCAACAAAGTGACTTACCGCGTGGAAATTTATAGCAGCCAAATACTCAAAACGCTTGTTTCTAAATAAAAAAAAAACAGTAATACACCACACCCCATCACCCCCCAACCACCCCCACACAAAGATCCCGTGTATAGCCTTCACAGACTGTTGGGGCAAGTGCTGTTAGCGAGCACCTATTAAGGCTGGACCGGCACTCAAGGGGGTGAGTTTTGAGCACCACGCCCAACCACCTTTGTCTCCCCATTGGTGATGTTTACACACTGCACCAGGTACTCATTTGAGGCTGAGCAAAACTACGGCAGACCCAGGACCAGTTCAGATAACTTTCACTGGCGTTGGCCATGAGCGGGAATTGAACTCGGGTAGTCGAGTTCCCAGTGCAGCGCGCTAATCACTATGCTACCACTCCCCACACACATGTATGAAAACACACACATACATACAGACATGTCAATTTACCCAACACGGGTGCACATTCATCGTTCAACATCCATAATCAAAGGGCACACACAGAAGCATACAAAGCGTGCACACAAACGCATTTCAGTTTTACAATTTCCGTCTGCACAAAATGTTTTGAAATCGCGTACAAAAAAATACACACGTTATAGCTGGTGGGAGTTGAGTGTGCCATATCTAGCTAAGGGAAACACCTATTCCATTAAAGCACAGCCTTGAGTTTTAAGACCGAAGTCTTAATGAATAAAAATGTTTGTAGCCAAGACTGGATTTCATTCTCTTGGAATAACACACTGCTTACAGAATTTGGAATCCTGCACGTTGATTGCTCATTCATAGTGCGCTGCCAGACCCCGGCCGCTGTTCTTGCAACCGGCGAACTTGAGGTCATGCACGTTGAAGATCCCGCCTTGAACGTTATCCGAAAAACGATGCCCAGATTGTGAAATTGCTTGTAAATGATTTCACTGGGAAAGACCACACAGCAGCAAATGCCTCCTTGCTGTGAAACTATCGTGTGGCTGTGTTCACTCAGAACAGACCGTGGGATGCATAACGACTCAACGCCAACTTTACAATCACGAAGGAGGCATCACCAAGTGATTCACTACTCAGTCGCACCTCCTGACACAATTATCTAGCACGACCACCTCAATCTAAAAAGATAGTTCTTTCTCTAAATCAACATCAATCTCATGAAGAAAAGGGAGACTGCACACGACTAATCCGAGAAATACAGCGCGGGAGGAATGGTGCGAATACCATATGCGCTCTATGATTCGATTTGATTCGTTGGCACTCACACCCTGGGTGCTATTTCTGGCTCGCACCTATAATGAACACGTGCAGCTACACTGGAAATTACAGCGCGATAACATGAATGCTGCACCACGCAATGTGGTTCGCTTGCAAAATTTTGTAAACATTTTTACGAATTCAGAGTCATATTGTGCAACGTAATTTCAATCATCTGTAAGCCATGTCAACAGGATTTTGGTGAAATTGCACAATGCATGGGGCAGACTGGTGCTCGAGCACAATTTATTTTCTCGCCAGATTTTTTCCATGAGCTGGCAGCTGTACCCCAACGAATAAAGATGAATGCACCCTTGCACAACTGTACGTTTGAAGAGTAGCGAGGTGTTAGGTATTATTATTTTTTCCTCTCGGGGCATGAAGAGAAATGAAATTGTATCGAAGAATGTATCCACAATATTGTGACAACTTACACGAGTTGTGGCAACGTTTACCAACCGGCAAGTCTGAAAGCAGGAGGCGAGCATTTAGCGATGATAATGAGTAAAGCGTTAGGCCACTTGGTGCTTCAACTCCAGCCAATCTCACTCGTGTAGTGATATTCATTTTGGATGACCATGTATAGGAGATACACACATATCAGACGTTCAATTATTAAACCATTACAAGTTGAATTCTCTGAAAAGTGTGCACCCGCTGGGTGTCAAATATTAAAACGGAAGGCCATAAAGCAGCATAGGCCAATACGTGGATCATGATCCGAGGGTGGATCACGATAGATTTTGTTGTGGATCTCAGGAACAAATCAGAACAAACACCTCCAACATAAGCAAAACAGCAACTTCCATTGCTGCAGCTGATGGCAAATTAAAAATCCCTGACTGAGGAATTCGTACGCTGAGAACATAACCACGTCCACCAATAGATGGCGGAAGCACTCTACGTCTCCAGTATATATCACGGGCTCAAAATCCGCCTGGGCAATTGTTGGTTACAGCTTTCCGGTGTTGGAACTCGCGCAGCCCGTCGAGATCCGCCAGCAAGGATCACAGTGCTTCGTGCACTGGCCGCCGGTGCCGTGAAGCGAACAGAGCCTCGCGTTCGTGAGGCCACGTGGGCCACAATCCCACGTTGAAGGCAAAGCCTTGTTCGCGTCGGCGCCGCCGTTCCACGCGCTTCTAAACACAGGACGCTCGCTCGCTGGCTGGCTGGCTGGCGCGCTGGCTGGCTCGCTGGCTGGCTGGCTCGCTGGCTGGCTGGCTGGCTGGCTCGCTGGCTGGCTGGCTCGCTGGCTGGCGCGCTGGCTCGCTGGCTGGCTGGCTGGCTCGCTGGCTCGCTGGCTCGCTGGCTGGCTGGCTCACTGACTGGCTGGCTCGCTGGCTCGCTGGCTGGCTCGCTGGCGCGCGCGTGCCCGGGAGTGTGCCGCTGCACCTTGACCGTCTCCCCGTTGCTCGCGTGGTGCTGCCCGTTGCCGCTTCCGGCGCTCTGCCCACTGCCCGAGCTGCGGCTGCTGCCCACGCTGCCCGTGCTGCCGATGCTGCTGCGGTCTCCTCCTAGTGGCGCCAGTCAGAGGTGGGGGGGGGGGGGGGGGTAGAACAAGCGGTGCGGTTCCGTCAGCGCAGGGAAAACACGGCGGCGCGGAAGGGGGGGGGGGGGTTCACGCTCCACGCATTGCAGCGGGCAGAGGGAAGGGGCTCGCAGTCAGAAGGTTGCGAGTCCTTGGTGGTTTACTCAGCCCATCATCCCTATGGGGTCGATAACGTGAGTACCGCCACATTGTGAGGAAGTCAACGGTGGTTGTTGCGTGGAAAGACTCGTCCCTGCCATAGGAATGTGGAATTTTAATCACTGGCTGAGGGCTGTAAACGGAAGATGGGCACTCATGTGCTCTTGTGTGCAGGAAATCACTTTGACTTTACAAAGACTCGGATTGGATTGCCTTACAGACTGTGATGGCAAGTTATATAACGTGCAGTTATTTGCTAATCCACTGCTGGATGAAGGCCTTCCCCCAACGCAGTGCCAGTCATTTGACCATACTTCACCACACTGGACAGTACGGATTGCTGGAGGAGGGGGCTGAGGCATGATGGTTCCTTTCACTCACCACTGACGTTAGCCATGGCCAGGAATCAGACTCATGTCTCGGAGTTCATAAAACAATGTATCCAATTCTATTTCATGTCCATTCAATAATATGTTGAAATCCAGTGCGGAATAAGAGGCATGGGATCACAAGGAATCGCCTCGACGATGGACTCGTGGACACAATGGAAACAACTCTCGATGAGTGCTCAGAATACAACACACAAAGACAAAGATCCCCCCTATAGCCCTAACAGACTGTTGGGGCAAGTGCTGTTAGCGAGCACTTATAAAGGCAAGCACGGTACACGGGGGGGGGGGGTGGGAAGCCAACACCACGCCTAGCCACCTTTGTTTCCCCAGTGGCGATGTTTACACACCATGCCTGCTACTTATTTGAGGCTGAGTTGACCTAGGGGAGGACCAAGACCGGTTCAGACAATCGCCACTGATGTTGGCCAGGAGCAGGAATCGAACTCGAGTCGCCGAGGTCACAGTGCAGCGCGCTAACCACGACACGGCCGCTCCCCATTCCAACACACACTTGCCCTCGGAACCCCACGGTAAGGGAAGTACCCGATGGGTTTTAACGGCGAGTTAATCTGCACCCTGCGTGTTTTTCACTTTCCTCTTTCACTCCAGCACAATTGATGACAAATTGTCAAATTCACTAAAGGCTTCATTTCTATACTCTGCATGTGACAAACGAGCCAATTAAATAAAACAAAATGGAGTAAACATATTTAATTGCTTTAAAAAGTACGTTTATTTTTGTTACTTTCATGGGAAAAAAACATGTTTTTGAACAGAGCTTTTAACAATCCTAAGCCTGCTGGCGATAGGCCCGTGCACATTTCCCTGATAATAATGATGGTTTGAATTTCTTCTCAGCTGCCGGCCATATGCTACTATCAATCTCCCCGTCTGCGTTGGCAGTATTATTTTTGTTAATCCTACAGCAGAAAGGAAGAAAAAAACCCATTCGACAATTTTTTTTCTTAAACGCCCAGGATTTACTGGGCGTTATTAATGTGCCCATACAAGACCGTGCAAGGCCAGCGTACAGCTATGCCAAACATTTTGTGGTGAGCAATAAAAGGAAAATAAAATATGCCATCTGATTCTGAATCTAATTGTTAATGTCCTTGTCAGATGTTCGTCGCATGTTTAACGATAAAAGTGAAAAACAAGCCGTTTAAAGTAAGCAATTTTTTTTTATGAACCCCATTTTTATTTTATTACTTTCAAGAAAATTGATTTACAATTTAGATGTATAGACAAAACAATACTCAGGCCTCATACTAATATGAGCCACAATGCATTATCGAAGCCATAGGTAGGAGTTAAGAGCACATGACTACTCAATCAATGTTCATTATTCAGCTCGGTCGGATCTCATTGAGAATCAGTATCTCTTGCACGGAAACCTGAAGCACATTTATTTATTTAAAATGTATTTTATACTGTATATGTTTTGGACTATAATGCCTGACTCCTATAAACCAGGTTCAGGTATCTTCAGTGTTCAATTTCCAGGATATCGAACAACGTTGGTAATTGTCATCGGCACCTCTGATTATCATGGTTGGCTACGTACGGTGCGAAAGAAATTCAATATACACAAGTACATATGGGGCTTGAGCAAGCAGAGCCCATTGCAAGCACGCTGACCGCTACGCTTGCACGATGACTTTTATTTTTGTGTTGTCAGTGCCATGCAATGAGAAGACCCCATTCTGAACTCTCATAAAGCAGTGCATTGTTAGAAAACAGTGCGTGGAAGTGGATACAACAGAGCTACCTCTGAGATCCCTTCAGTGACCTTTGAAACCAGCACTCGGGGACAACACTCTCCCACCAACCCTCCGCTCGAGTAGTGTTTTATGCACGGCAGTCAAACCAAATTTGTTTTGAATTTCAGAGCTGGAATTTATCCAATTTAAGTGCAAATCAAGATCAAATGTATTACTCTTGTGTTTATTTTTGTACAGTCCATTTGGTGACCGGGCTGAGAACATCAACCCACTTAAAACGAGAGATGTCCGTCTAATCACAGGTGGCTTGTCAGGATTCAAACCCAGGATCTCAGTGGTGCCAGCTCAGCGCTCTGACTTCTGAGCCACCCCGGGGATGCATTTGAAAAATAAGTGGCAGATAAACCCATGGCACAGAGATGCCTGCTGCTGCTGCTGCTGCAATCGCCACGGTAGGCGAGTGCGGATGGACGCTGTCGCAAAGCGTATGGAGGCCGAGTGGCGGTTACCCGTGGGTGTCTTGGCGGCCCACACGTCTTCCGTGGAGCTGCTGCCACCCGTCTGGCCCGGCGTCTCCCCTGCACGCGAGATGTGGGGAAGTGGGGGGGGGCAAGACACAAACCGTCGGCCCATTGGCTGACTGAGACCATCTTCCTACTGGCTCGGTCCACGAAAATGCTTTTAGGGTTGCTGTGTCCAAGAATGATGCGGCTTTTTTTTCTACCGCTTGTGTTTTTTTCTATCGTTTGTGGTTTTTTTATATCGTTTGTGTTTTTACGCGCTTTTTTTTAATAAACTCATTGTCTGTTGTTGTCGTATTCTCAAATCTTGTAACTCAATTTTAACCCACTTCCCAATGTCGTATCAACTGCAAACTTGGTATACGTATGTCATACTGATGACAATACTATATTCTAGCATTAAAAATAATATGTTTTTAAACATGATTTTTTATATGTTATGTTTCGGCTTGGGTCTAAATTGTCCACGCTCAACTGACGTTGGCTGTAATTGGCCACGGCCCCTTACGTTATGGCAAGCTTCGGGGTCACTTCCTGGAGTCGTGGAGTTCTACCATTACTCGTACGGTATATTTCATTAAAGCGTGTTTAAAAAAAAATCATTTTTAAAATATTACTTATTTACGCCTTACTTTGTATGTGTGTTGTTGTGGTTGTTGTTAAATAGCAACGTTATTCCAATTTGTGCTATGGGCATCGTGTTGTGATAGGAAGCGTTCATTCAGAGCTCTTGTGGAGCAGTGGCAACGGCAATTGTCAGTGGACGGCCAGTGGAAGAATCTTACAGAACTACTTCCAAATTCCCTTCAAAGTGAGCTTTGTTCTCGAGCCAAATCAAAATAAAATATATAAGGAGGCACATTGTCTCCTCCGCATATTTGTCTTTATACTAAAAAAGTAGTTTGCTTGCCTTGAACCAATGCTGTCAGAAGGCTTTGTAGCTTGGGTAATAACACATTCCTGCGGAGGGAGCTGGTAGGAACGTTGGGTTGCTCGGTCAATGGCCAGGGTCAACGGCGGCACCACGTGGTGTATTCCGCCAAATATGCCCGACTGTGAGGGCGGGCACAAGCCGGCGTGAGTAGGTTAAACGTTGAGTTTTATAAGGGCACCACGGGGTGACCAGCCCCTCCCCACCCAGCCCCACCCTCCCCACCCAGCCCCTCCCCACCCTCCCCTATCCACCCAGCCCCACCCCTCCCATTTTTGGATGCACGACGGACGGACACAATAATCCCCTGTGGGCTGGTGGAACCAGGAGGTTCCTACCAGTATGATTTTGTTTATTTGGCCTGTGCTGTGTCAAATAGTTCAATATTCAATTTAAACCTGTGATCGCTTAAATTCGCACTTGGTAGCTTTTATGGTAGAATGAATATGAATATGCGCATAAAGTTTGGCAATATCTTTTTGGTCAAACGCAAAGAGACCTACAATGTATGCCCAGGGTGGCCCAAGCTTTCTCAAGTAATAATGTCATAATTACTTGCATATTAACTCGGCCATCCGTGGGCACAGCTGACACTAGCAGGGAAACCAATTTATGAAAATATGATGAGCCTACCAATACACTTTGGAATGACTGTTCAATGAATATACTTTCCTCGGGGCATGTGGAATTTCGACAACTAGGTGCATCAAAAGTCTTAAAAATCGTCGGGTGCAGACAAACTACGGCGCATGGAAGAAAGAAACGAACAAAAGCGACTGCAAAAGTTTGGGGTCAAAATAAATATGAGCAAGACAGCAGTCATGGTCAACAAAATCACCGCGCAAGATAAAATAATTGTTGGACGGACACAACAGGAGAGAGAGCACAGCAAGGGGACATATAAATGCATATACATGTTTATACAAATATATAAAACAAACCTTTTAAAAATCCCTTCAATCATCAAGCACATTCGTATATAATTGTTCGGTATCAAATGTCGTTATTGAAAGGTTTACCATCAAACACTCTGCCACTTGCCTGCTTACCCTCGTGCTCTGTAGCAAACGAAGTCATGCAAGCATGTGACAATTTTTTTGGGGTCTAATCTATCTTGTCTCATCTATCCGTAAACGCGTATTGATCTAAACTACCCCATGGCACACTCCATCGCATCGCTGGACAACTTCATCACATTAATTAGATTTATAGCTAAATTCATTAATCCACTGCTGGATGAAGACCTTCCCACGACCCCCCAACCCCCCCCCCCCCCACTATCAGTCTGTCGGGGGGGGGGGTGTTGTCTGGTCAGACTTCGAGCACAGGGTTTGCTCTTCGTAGCAGACTGCGCTAACCGCTATGCCACGGCATCCCTCACGACATGCACTTGGTGAAATCGGTCGCATAGCCTTGTTTGCGAACAAAAATCCTCACTTTTCCTGGAAAGCAGGCCTATCGTAACCCCTACCAAAAAATCCCGCGGAAACCCTAAAACGTTACACCGTAAGGTCAAGTAACAGTGCGACGGGGACAGACGCGACACTGGCATGCCACGCTACTGATTGCACCCTGACCCATTTCCCGGCGATGCTGCCACGTGGAATTTGTCCCATCTTTACAGACGGACCTCTTGCCTGCGTAGCTTCGCTGGTACTTTGCATGCAAATGATTCTCTCGTGAACTCCAACCCCCCCCCCCCCCCCCCAGTGGCCGGTGATGTCTTAGAAGCATTTTAAGCGGTCAATGAGAAGACGTCGAGAACCAATTATAATCATGCTTGGCAGTGCGATAGTTTGTGTTGTATCATCGGTGTGAATTTCCCAGTTACCTCATGCTGTCATGGGGGTGAGTGTTCCCCCAACCCCCTGCTGATGGGTCAGCCCCCCATTCTAAATCCTTATAGTTAAGTCAAACAATGTTTTTGGTACGATATATGTCCTGTAGTTTGTGTCCTGTTTTCACCTATAGAGTTTAAGACATGAATGCACTTAGTTGTCGAAATACCACATGCCTACAGGAAAGACCAGTATATTATTAGGAAGCCACTGGAGCTATGCACTTTTAAATCTCGATTGAAAACTAATTTCTTTAGAACTGCTCTTTGTCTTTAGTTTGTTGTCCTTCCACCACAATTTTGTTAAGCGCAGATGGCTACGTACAGGTACGAAAGAAGTTCAACATACATACAGTGGTGGTAGTTTCATAAAAGTTAGCACCAATGGAAAATGTTCTGCTTTGGGATCCTTCATTTAACGCAGTGGGGTTCTCAACCTTTTTTTTTGTTGGCTACTGCTGCACCCTCCTTGTTGAATTTAGTTTCAACCGAGTGACCCACCTTGCCTGACCCAACATGGTTCTGAGAAATTAATGCATGAACAATGAACATCAACATTTGAACCCAATTGTCCATTTTGTGATGTACCCAAACTCGCGAGTAACAGCAAGCGCTTACAAAAAATGCAACGGACGCTCTGCACGCGTGGCGTTATTTGTTCGTGCTCGCTGGCTACTCTTGGTAGCTCGTATTGTTTAGGATCAATGATTTTATGAAGGTCTTTTATATATCGTCCTAGGTGGCCATACGGATTAAAATGTCATCATAGTTATTTTGTATAGGCAGATCATACATGATTATTCACTAATGACTCTCATGTATAAAACAATTGAACAGATCTATAAATCACCTCGCGTACCTACCCCCTTCGACATCGCCACGCACCCCCAGAGGGGGTCCCGTGTACCCCCCCCCCCCCCGGTTGAGAACCACCGGCAAGCTTCACGTGATTGATCCACAAGCCGTCTGGGGCTGCACTGAGTGCTAAACATGCGTAGAAATTAACGATGGGCGCCCGCAGCCTTTCCTCGCATACCCAGGGGGCTAGACGCTCGAGCTGAATGCGCACGATAGTTAATCGCATTGTCGTCCAGTTCCTTGTGCGTCTTACATTGTTTTAAATTTTGTTTCACGAGGACCGTGTCGTGGGATTTGGTTTGACCCCCCCCCCCCCCCCCCCCCATCGCTATAATCAAGGTCACGCTGCCAGGGCTGGTTGCAAATGTGTAACGGACGTTGTATGGTTGGCCTCTTAAGTGAATGTTCCAGTGCTCAAATGATTATTTTATTATTATCATCATCATCATCATCGGTGTCACAGCCCAAATAGCCACGACTTCATTAAAATGAGTTAATGACGTTAGTCCTTGCATAAATACCCCTTGGGAAAAGCAAAGATTGAATATCAACGGGTTCGCGTGTGATTTAATATAGGAAATTGAATTAAATATTAAGGGGGGGGGGGGGGGAGATGTACACAACAAAATTAATAACCCACCAATTATAGCAGGCTCCTGCTGAGGCCCACTAATTGGGATCAGACAAGGGCAGTCGTTCCCATCAGCTGCAGCTGCAGTCACGTGGGACTCCTGTGGCTCGGAAGTAAGTAACCCCTGAGTAACAACTCTGGGTCCAGCACAAGGCAGGCTGTGCTGATGCCACACCAACGTGTGGCTTTTGGCGGTGCGCTGTACGGCCCTGCGATGTGTTTTCGGGTCATGCCGCGTGCTGTTCGGGACGGCAAGCCTTGACGCTTCGCTCCAACTTGCCGGGAGCTTCTGTCGGGAACTGAAATAATATCGATGGGGAATCTCACTTTTCCGAAGCAGCTCCCGGCACGTGGTGCGAAACATCGGACATCGCCTGCTTCCGACTCGAAACCAAAGCGGAGAGCCGCTGTTGGTGCCGTATTTGCCGAGGCATCTCATGTCAGTGTTTTCTCACTGCTGGTTTTCTAAAAAAAACCTTCAGACACTTCCACAGGCTCAGTACCTTCCACATAAATCAGTGTCAATTCCAAATTAGTGGGAATATTACCGTGCACTTCTGATAATAAGGATTAATTGAAGACCTTAACAACTGACTGCAACGACGAACAAATGAACTGTTTGCAATTACAACTGAAAAAGTAATTAACGTGCACCATTTGTAACGCAAACAAAACAGCCACACTCGGTTTGCGATGGCCACGCGCAATTCGTTTACAGTTTGCGACTACGCTGCCACTTTAGTGGTTGACTGTTAGGGGGTTTCTCTAATTGAAACAAAACTTTGATTTAAAGCTTTCGTGACTGCAGTAATTCATATTCTTAGTTTTTTCGGTAAAGTCACGTTGAAGAGAAACAACAAAATAACAAAATATATATAAAACAATAAAAAAAAGTCACATTATGGTCGAAACGTCGTGAGAATTTTTTATTGTTTTATATATATTTTGTTATTTTGTTGTTTCTCTTCAACGTGACTTTACCGAAAAAACTAAGAATATGAAACAAAACTGTTATTATAAAACAAGTTAACTGGCACACACACACCGGGTGAGACCACAGGAGTGCCTTCAGGCCTAACGGGCCAAACCAAAAAATGCTCACACGATGTTCGTGTTACATGTTTTTTTTTTACTACGAAAGAAGGCGCAAGCATTTGGACGTCAGAATTTCTGCATTATTATTATTCTTCTTCTAAGCTCCTCTGGAGATAGTTTGGCTTCGTTTGCTCGCCCCTTATATTGAGAATCGTGGTTCTTCTCTCATCCAACTGTGGGCAACAAAGTGTCCACGCCTTACACATCGGGGTGACGAAGGTGACCCTAAAGATTAACACCCTTGAAGCACCACGAGCACAATTATGCAGGGGGTCATGAACCCTACCACATCCCATTATGAAGTGAAGCGCAGTATCGCAGTGTTCAATTGGCTGCAACATCATTCACGGTCCCCTCTTCACCCACCGCAGTGCATCCAATTCTACCGCGTGGGGTTTCGCGGCTCGTGCTGCTGTGGTGCTCATGGGTTGTATACCGCGCGCGTCGCTCTGCACGACGCCCGACGTTTCGCTCCACGCGCCGGGGAAGCCACGCGGCAACAACCCGAAGACGGAGAAGCCCACCGTCGCCCATTCCCTACGGTTGCCCCTACGGTTGCCCACCTTGCGACTCGGCCTCCGCAGGCTCAGCCTGGAGCGCCTGAGTCTCCGGAGCTGGAGGAGGTGGGGGTAGGGGCAAGGACAACGGCTGGCACAGAAAGTAGGAGTGGCCGGCTGCTGTGGCACCCGCCACTGAGGCTTGCTGCTGCTGCTGCGGCTGCTGTTGCGGCTGCTGTTGCTGCTGCTGCGGCTGCGATTGCTGCTGCTGTTGCTGTCGCCGAGCATGCTGAGACACGCGCAGGGTGCAGTAAGAGTAGGCCCGGGGGCCGGCCGTGGAGGGAGTTGCTGCCTGCCCAGGCCCGAGGCCAGGGGACAGGCAGGAGACTTGGTTTCGATGGTGGGGAAAGTGCGAATGGGGTCAGGCAATGTGGGGGGGGACAGAGGAGAGATACACGGAAATGTGGGGGGTAGGTGCCACGGGCAACGAGCACAATGAGGGGGGCCATTGAGTGACGCCGCACGCGGTGGTGGTGGGTGGTGACACGAATGAAAACAGGAGAGGAGAGAGAAGGAAAATATTAGTAGAATAAGTGAAAGTACAACGTACGCACCTCTTGCACAGGTCGTGACATATGAAAAGTGCAGAACAGGAGCAAGTGTTAGTGTAAAGTTGATGTTATCGATAGGAGGTGCAAGCACGTGTACGTGTACAAGCGCGCGTTGCGCAAGTGGCGAGTGGTCTCAGTGCACGGCTCAAGCATTGCCCCAGAGTTTCCCACGAGGCCAGGTGCGGTTTGCCCTCCGTGAAGCTGCAGAAACTGCGATGTGTTCCGCATGTGTACTCGGTGAGCTCTGGGGTAGACGCGCGAGTGCGGTAGTGCTTGGGTTAAAGTCTGCGCCTGCTGCTGCTGCTGTGTGCGGATCTTATTAGCCAAGGGCGTTGTGGTTCAGTGTAAAAATTAAGTAACGTGACCTTCATATTCTTTGGGTCTTTCGGTAAAGTCACGTGGAACAAAAAAAATAACAACAAAAAACGACGACCTTTCGATCGCAACACAAGCAATTGTCACACCCTCAATTTTGCCTCCTGATGACGATTGCTCGTGTTGCGATCGAAACGTCGTCGTTTTTTGTTATTTTTTGTTTGTTCTACGTGGCTTTACCGAAAGACCCAAAGAATACGAATTCCCGCAGTCACGAAAGCTTTACGTCAAGATTTAACGTGACCTTCCTTTGTTTTAATGAGTTCAGGAGACCCGAGTGGACATTACGAGGGAACAACGAGCCATGATCGCAGTCTGCCCATTTGCAGAGGCAATGGCCGATGATTAAATTCGCACCGGGTTCGTTTGAACATCTTTCAAGGCCAGGTTGACACGGCGGCCGAAGAGTTGCAGATGCCGACGAGACCTCGCCGGTCAACACCTGTGCTGTACGGATCACCACAACTCGTTGCAGAGTCACAGAGGTGACCTCCCCGCGATCTGTTCTGAGAGTAACGGTCAAAATCCAGCTGCCTTCAGGCTAGCCCTCGGTCACCCGACCTCTGTGGGTGCCTAGCCGCCAGCCGCCTCGGTCACCTGCCATCGTCCATCCCGCACAGGCACCCCCGACCCATCACGACGTTATCTTTCTGATTTAGCCTCAACACTGCTTTCCTGACACACATTCCATTGGGAACTTCAAAGTGCCTTTACTCCATCCTGTCACGAAGTTCCATAACATCATCGCACGTGCGCCTCTCCTTAAAGGCCAAAGCTTCTCTGCTATTTCCTTTGTTCAAACCACCTTTCGAGAAATTTTGATTTAAAGCTTTCGTGACTGCAGTAATTCATATTCTTAGTTTTTTCGGTAAAGTCACGTTGAAGAGAAACAACAAAATAACAAAATATATATAAAACAATAAAAAAATTCTCACGACGTTTCGACCATAACTCAAACGGTCATCATCAGGTGTGTCGGTTTGCATAAATTTATTTTGAAAACGGCATATTTATTTATTTATATATAAAAAAAATAACGTTTGCGTCACGCGCAACGATTGGCAGTTTGCCCAGGACTAGTCCATCTATTTTTTGAAAAGAGGAGGGGGGAGACGAAATTTGTTTTTATGTATGCTGTCTGAAAGCCACTGTAAGCGTGAACAATCAATCAAGAACTGAAATGATTTATCAAATCTTTCCAATGATTGCTAAGATAGAATCCATCTTCTCGGTTGAAATTGTCTCTGTGTTTGTATATGTGGATAGCCTCATGAACGAATCTCTCATGGAAGCCAGATGGCTTACAAAGAACCTCCGTCTTGGAAAAGTCAATGGCATGTGAGCCTACTGAATTAGAACAATGATCTGCTACGGCCGAGGTGTTGGTCCTACCGTGTTTAAGGTCTGCTTTATGTTCACGAATGCGGTCCGAGATATGGCGTTTGGTTTCTCCAATGTAACTACTACCACAGAGGCAACTTAGTTTGTAGACACCAGGGTATTGTATGTCCGGAATCACATCTTTTACAGACGGAACCAGATCACGGATTTTATGTAATGTGTTGAAACGGACCTGGATCTTGTGTTTATTCAATATTTTGGACATCTTTTTTGTGATCCCAGCAATGTAGGGTAAAGTGATGGTTTTGAAAGGCTCCTCAAGAGGGTTCTTCTTCATGGTTTGAGTGATAGCTTTGCGGATTGTATAGTCGGAGTAACCATTAGCCCTAAGAGCTTGGTGTACGTGCTTGAGTTCACTGCTTATGTGTTCCTGGTCGGATATGCATTGGGCTCTATGATACAGAGTCTTGATGAGAGAATTCTTCTGTGATGGATGGTGGTGGGAATCCGGTTTCAGATAAGCATCCGTATGGGTAGCTTTCCTGTAGACAGAGTGGCTCATTGAACCATCAGGTCTCTTTTTAATTAGGACATCCAAAAAAGGTATCTTGCCATCTATTTCGACTTCCATGGTAAATCTGATGGCTGGGTGTATGGAATTGATGTGGTCGAAGAATTGGTCTAGAGCAGGCCGGCCATGTGGCCAGATGACAAAAGTGTCATCCACGTACCTCTTCCATAAGGTTGGGCGCAGAGTGGCAGTCTGGATGGCGTCAGTCTCAAATTTCTCCATGAAAATGTTAGCTATAACTGGAGAAAGGGGGGAGCCCATTGGGGTGCCCTCAGTTTGTTTGTAGAAAGTTCCATTCCAAGTGAAGTATGTATTGGTTAAACAGTGTCTCACCAGGGGGGGTACCTCAGTGTTTAGTCCTTGATGAACCAAGTCTTCAATGATTGCAATGGTGTCAGGTACAGGAACCTTGGTGAATAAGGAAACTACATCAAAACTGACAAGCAGGTCGTCTGGGGACAGGGAAATACCCTTGATTGTTGATACCAGGTGAGTAGAATTTTGTACCGCAGAGGTGGTTTTTCCAGTGAAAGGACGCAGGATTTCAGACAAAAAACGAGCTAGTTTGTAGGTGGGGGAGCTGATAGTAGAGACTATGGGACGAAGAGGTGTATCAACTTTATGTATTTTTGGTAAGCCGTATAATCTTGGTGGCCTGGCAGCAGAAGGTTTCAACGAAAACTGTTTAGATTGATCAATTAATGCGGTTGAATCAGAAATTATTTTGTTGGTTTGTGTGACGAGGCTGTTGGTGGGATCTCTTTTTATTTTTGTATAACTACCATCGTCGAGTAATTCTTTAATTTTGTTGTTGTAACAGTTCTATTTCCGATGGTCTGAAATCCGTTTTAGCTAAAGGTCTAAACTTTGCAGTCACACCTAAACACATACCAGTTAATGATATAATTGCCCAAGTAGACGTTGCTCTCAGGGGCCTGGGTCACATCGCTGCAGACGTAGCAAGATCTGAAATCGCTGCAACCCTCAAAAACGCTAAGATGCCAGCTAGCAACCTCAGCAAAGATGAGCGTTTTGAATTATATAAATTAAAAAAGAGGAATGATATTGTAGTTCTCTCAGCTGACAAAGGCAATGCTACTGTCATCATGGATAAAATAGAATACAACAACAAAATTAAAGAATTACTCGACGATGGTAGTTATACAAAAATAAAAAGAGATCCCACCAACAGCCTCGTCACACAAACCAACAAAATAATTTCTGATTCAACTGCATTAATTGATCAATCTAAACAGTTTTCGTTGAAACCTTCTGCTGCCAGGCCACCAAGATTATACGGCTTACCAAAAATACATAAAGTTGATACACCTCTTCGTCCCATAGTCTCTACTATCAGCTCCCCCACCTACAAACTAGCTCGTTTTTTGTCTGAAATCCTGCGTCCTTTCACTGGAAAAACCACCTCTGCGGTACAAAATTCTACTCACCTGGTATCAACAATCAAGGGTATTTCCCTGTCCCCAGACGACCTGCTTGTCAGTTTTGATGTAGTTTCCTTATTCACCAAGGTTCCTGTACCTGACACCATTGCAATCATTGAAGACTTGGTTCATCAAGGACTAAACACTGAGGTACCCCCCCTGGTGAGACACTGTTTAACCAATACATACTTCACTTGGAATGGAACTTTCTACAAACAAACTGAGGGCACCCCAATGGGCTCCCCCCTTTCTCCAGTTATAGCTAACATTTTCATGGAGAAATTTGAGACTGACGCCATCCAGACTGCCACTCTGCGCCCAACCTTATGGAAGAGGTACGTGGATGACACTTTTGTCATCTGGCCACATGGCCGGCCTGCTCTAGACCAATTCTTCGACCACATCAATTCCATACACCCAGCCATCAGATTTACCATGGAAGTCGAAATAGATGGCAAGATACCTTTTTTGGATGTCCTAATTAAAAAGAGACCTGATGGTTCAATGAGCCACTCTGTCTACAGGAAAGCTACCCATACGGATGCTTATCTGAAACCGGATTCCCACCACCATCCATCACAGAAGAATTCTCTCATCAAGACTTTGTATCATAGAGCCCAATGCATATCCGACCAGGAACACATAAGCAGTGAACTCAAGCACGTACACCAAGCTCTTAGGGCTAATGGTTACTCCGACTATACAATCCGCAAAGCTATCACTCAAACCATGAAGAAGAACCCTCTTGAGGAGCCTTTCAAAACCATCACTTTACCCTACATTGCTGGGATCACAAAAAAGATGTCCAAAATATTGAATAAACACAAGATCCAGGTCCGTTTCAACACATTACATAAAATCCGTGATCTGGTTCCGTCTGTAAAAGATGTGATTCCGGACATACAATACCCTGGTGTCTACAAACTAAGTTGCCTCTGTGGTAGTAGTTACATTGGAGAAACCAAACGCCATATCTCGGACCGCATTCGTGAACATAAAGCAGACCTTAAACACGGTAGGACCAACACCTCGGCCGTAGCAGATCAT